CCAAAAGACAATTTTGCAGTACTTTAAATGCCTATCGTTTTCTTCCATTCATCCCCAAGTTTAAAAAAGACCTGCAGGTCTTAAATGCATTATCTTCTTTGTAGATGCAATCAGGCCTTTTTCTTCATAGTGGTGAGGCATTGAATCACTTACTAGTATTGTTCAAGTTGTAACTTCAAAATTCTATCTGTAAACACTAACCCAAAATCGTTGTTAAGTAGTAGGTCAAGTCCAATAAGCCATGGTGCCTATTCTTCAGAATTGGTACTTAACAAATGCTTAGATTCTATCAACCCTATGTTTCATAGAAGTATGGGATAATCAATAACTACTAATAGACATATAAAACCTATATTCCAGGAGGAAGCTAGAACCTATAAGAGCTTTGTTGTGCTTTTTTTAGTTCCTTGTTTAAAACATCATGTTATTTCAACAAAGTAATAATACTTCAAGGGAATCCATATTTCCTAATTGAACTAATTAGGAGAGCATGATGTATTAATTCACTTTAATGCAACTCTATTTTGCTTGATTCTTTTTCCTGCACCATCATCAAGAACAGATATATACACTAGTGGCTCAGTGCATGAATTCATTCACATTGAAAGGAAATTAGAAGAAATATTTTAATACTGCTATTCACTCTTTCTCTATAATAGAAGGGTCAGAGATGAAAGAAAATTAGTAAAATGTATATGAAGATAATATGTAAATTGATTAATAAACAATAAGATGATGATATAACAAATACATGATATAAAAAACATGGCATAAAAACAACAAAAACATGATATAAAACATTGATAAAAACAATGACTGATAAATTGATTAAACTTATTCTAATCTCTCTCTAAATACAACATTAAGAGTAAAAACACTCTCAGAGTGCTTGACTAATTTCTCTTGTGATGAAGTATTTACAACTTTAATTTTAATGTCACATACTCTTCGAACTCAAGAGAAAGTAACCTGTATAACTGACCATGGCCAAAAACGGGCTCAGGTAGAAATATTCCTACTCTGTATAGTTTGTCCTTGTGATTTATTAATAGTCATCACAAATACTGGCATCATGGGAAACTGTCTTCAAATTAATTTAAATGGGAAGCCAGTGTCAGACGGGGACAATTGTGCCAATAGTTGGTCTTCAGATATATTCTGTGGACAATGCTGCTTTCTTTCAGCTTCAGAATGTCAACAAAAACAACTATATTCACTATTAACAATGACAGATCGAAACATAGTCATGCGATCGGTGCCAGCAAGAGCTTTATGTGTATCATGCATACACAAGTCAATGTTTATTTTTAAATTGCCAATGTGTGTCATATGTATGTACTGACCAGTCAGTCAGACATACAGTTGGTCACTTAGCTATATATATATATTAGAGACCCAATGCACAGAATTCATGTAAGAGTAGAAGGGGCACCAGGTTCCCTCTAGTACCCAGGACCCAGGCTTCCCTTGCAGCCCTGGCTTCGTCCAGAAGGACATCCATTCCAATTAGCATATTATGCTTTTATTATTACTATACTAGTGGCCTGGTGCACAAAATTCATGCATTGTGGAGGGGGGGGGGTCCCTCAGCCTGGCCTGCACCCTCTCTAATCTGGGACCCCTCGAAGGATGTCCTACTGCAGGTTTACAGGGATTGAGACTAAACTGGCAGTTGAACATCCCTTTTGCAATTCGGGACTGCTGGCTCCTAACCACTCACCTGCCTACCTGCCTGATTGCCCCTAACCACTCTGCCTGCTGGCCTGCTTGCTCCCAACTGCACCCATATATATATATTATATAATCTACAAAGTATGTAGATTCTATTGCTAAATTAAAAATTTTCAATTCCTTCTTCTGTCTTGGTTTCAGACAATTCAATAACCCCAGAGTTCTGCCAAAATTTCCCAAGTTCATTCAATTCTATCTTGTATTTTCTCATAAAAAGAGAAGCCATTTCTTCTGGTCTGGAGTTTCTTTCATAGATTTCCTTCCACTCTGAACATATTGAAGAATCTCCAAAATAAGTTTCTAGGCTTTGATATAGAGAATAATCTAGATGCAATTCATGATGAGAGAGAAACAGAGATAATGACTACTAGCCTGTCTGCTCTGTCTCCTCACACTAGTACACAAAATTTGAAAAGATCATCCTTTTACTAGGGGCCTTCTTATTGCAGATGGTGTTGAAGCAGCAGTTACAGAATAATTTTGGAATTCATTGCAATCGTAAGTGACTACACTTCTGAATTCTTTCTAAGTCTGGGCATATTAGTGTGGCAGTATCTACCTACCGAATGCAGTAATTATATGTCAAGGAAATTCCAATTAAATGATGCCATTACCTAGATATGGGTAGGCAGAAAGAAAAAGAAAGGGGAAAAGATGTGGGAGCAATGTAGAAAGAAATAGGTGGGGGGAGAGGAAAGGAGGGAGAGGCGAGGAAGATAGGAAATGAGGAAGAGAGAGATAGACAGAAGATATCAATTGAATGTCCTTATATCTAGGAGGATAACATTTTCCTTAGAAAGGTAAGAGGGAGAATTGAAAGAAAATAAAGGAAAACAAAATAGAGCCAGTCTTAATCTGAAGATGTTGTCCAAGTTTGTCAAAGAATACCATTATCTGAGATCACAGTTTCCTCCATGCCATCATTCAATTTCACTGTCTGATAACTGATCAAGATAGTATATACCTCAAGTATATAGGGCTATCTAAAGGCACGCAATACTATTATTGAAACTTACGCCTGTTTTATATATTCTCATGGGCACTAAGTAGAGGTTTGGACTTTGGCCAAAGTCATTACCATGTGCTTTTCTGGGGAATATTTTTTAGCCCCTCTCAGCTTGCTTTCAGCTTCTGCTTCTCCTCCTTAATTGACCAGCTTTCATGACTTGAAGAAATGGTTAGAGATGGGGAGCAATCATACTCCAATTACACTTAGATAGAGCTATTTACTTGAAAAAGCTTGAGCCTGAAACTGATCCAAAAGTTATTTGAACTCATTTCCAGATTTTTTAGATTTTTCAGGTTGTAAAGACAGCATTCTGGGAAGTGACTAAGATGTCTGCTATAACTGTCCTTCAGTTCTGCTCACCAAAATGCCCACTTGAAGGTGTTTGCATATTCCTCCATAGTCATTGACTTGCTTTGGTTTGGCCTAGAGTGCTCAGGTACTCTGACACTGATACTTCTGTATCTTAGCAACACCTTAGTAAGACACCTGGGTCATAATTTAAAATGTCCCAGCTTTTGACTATAATTTCTTCCCATATAAGAGGAAATAGGTATCCTGATGCTGAGATGCATTCATTAGGTTGACTGGGAGTATTTCCTGACTACTACAAGTTATCAGCTCTCAGGCTAACTCTTTGGAAAAAAGATACATCAGGTAGAAAAGCTGATAAAATTTATTGGGCAATATACTAGTTCCCAACAAATTCTCTATCAGTAGGCTAGCACACAAAATATATAATTGATTGCATAGACACCCTTTTCTTTTGTACAGCTTTCTTAAGTACCCATGTGTAATATAATTTTAGGTTTTCAACATCTCAAAAATTATATTCATAGCTAGTTATTATTCCTATCACCAAAATATGAATACCAAACCAATCTTTCTCCTATTATTCCTCCACCAGACTGTGCTAAAGAAGCAGGACATATACACTGAGTGGCCATATTATTATGATCTTTGAACGCATAATAATCTGGCCACTCAGTATATATATACTCTTAGAGGCCTAGTGCATGGATGGGGTCTGGCCAACCTGGCCAGGGAAGGGGACATAGGCGGTTGGCCCGCCTGCCTGCTGGTTGAATTCCTGGTCAAGGGGACAATTTGCATATTAGCCTTTTATTATATAGGATACACACTGAGTAGCCAAATTATGTGTTCAGAGATCGTAATAATCGGGCCACTCAGTGTATAGTTAATTCTAGTTTAGGAATACTATTATGCCTGTGAAGTGATTCAAGTTTCACTTAGGATTTACTATTATTAAAAGCTACGCAGATGGGTAAATCACCTATGAAGAAGATGGAAAGATAGCTCAAAAGAGACAGTGTTGACACATTTTATCTGACTCAAAGCTATATCTGTGTATTGTGCATGGGCCCTCCAAATAACTATGGGAACTGACTCACAGGATATTTCCCAGCTGACTCTGTAGTTAGGTCAAGGCTTTCTTTTCATGATACCATATTGTCATACAAACCAGCCAAATTCCCCCCTCTAGTCAGAGAACTTCTTTAAGTGGTGGAAGTCCTAAAGTACTAGTCATCAGCTCATCAGCGTTAGCCATTTTGATTTCACCCTAACCTCCCCACACACTGGAGCCCTCATGTTCTTTTGGTACTTTTTCTCCTATGAGTTATTGCACTTCCAACTTAAGATTTATTAATTCCCTGTAAGCAGACAAGCTTTATTTAAATCCCCCTGGCATTTCTGTCATTTCTTTTGCTTCTTAGTTTCTGCTTCTGAATAGTGAGTCATAGCTGCTGCTGTCAACAGAAGAATAAGAGGGATAAAAAGGTTTTTAGGACTACACTAAAAAAAAAATAGAGAGGGAGATCTAAATTTACATAGATATAATCTCATGTGATTTTTTTATCTTTACAGGTGGATTTACTTTCTTTTTTTAAAATATATTTTATTGATTTTTTTTTGTACAGAGAGGAAAGGAGAGGGATAGTCAAAAACATTGATGAGAGAGAAACATTGATCAGCTGCCTCCTGCATACCTCCCACTGGGGATGTGCCCACAACCAAGGTACATGCCCTTGATCAGAATCAAACCTGGGACCTTTCAGTCTGCAAGCCGAAGCTCTATCCCCTGAGCCAAACCGATTAAGGCATGGGTTTACTTTCTCCATACCTGTTTTAAATAGTGCATAAAGCAGAATTTACTATCAAATCATTATATATATAAAATAGAATAACAGAAGCTTGGAGAGCCTTGTAGAAGCTTGAAGAGCCCATATCTATTACTGTCTACCACATACACTCTGATACTCCATTCTGTCAATCAGGTTCTCAAGTAATCCTTACCCAGTAGTTATATGAGGATGTTTAATTTCATACTGTCTGTCAGTTCTTCTCTAATAGACCACTAATTGAGAGTTACTTGCTTTTGTTAGGTTCCTAGTCTAATAACACTAAATCTACTTCTGAACCCTAAGGAATAATCTTCTCAGATTATCACTGCTAGTCTACTTGGGTGGCAAGTACCACCATTAATGTCAAAGTGTGATAGTTAATTTTATGTGTCAACTTGACTGGGCTAAGAATGCTCAGATAGCCAGCAAAACATTATTTCTGAATGTGTCATGAGGGTACTTGCAGAAGAGTAATATTAGCATTTACATTGTCCAACTAAGTAAAGAAAATACCCTCACCAGTTGGATGGGCATTATCCAATTCATGAAGGCCCTAGATGAAACAAAAAAGATGGAGAAAGAGTAAATGTGCTCTCTGCTTAAGCTGGGACTTCCATTTTCTCCTGCCATTAAATACTGGCACTCCCAATCTTGGACTTTTAAGTTTGGACTTGTATTATACCATCAGCTTTCTGAGACCTCCTGCTTATAAACAGCAGACTTTGGGACTTCTTAGCCTCCTTAATCAAGTGAGCCATTTCCTCATAATAAATCATATATATGAGGGTATATATAATTCATGTATGTATATATGATTTTATATTATGAACCATATATGTGTATATTTAATATATTAATTTATATATAAAAATTATATTGATTATGTTTCCCTGAAAAATTCAGACTAATACAGAAGATAAATGTTTAATAATCAGCTCTTGGGGAAGGGAGAACATAATAATTTATAGTGTATACCAATTTCTATAAATATTCCTTTCATGATCAATTTCAAGATACCAATGCAGAGTTGGAAGCAACATGCACTATCAAATGTCATGAGCAGGTAGAACCAGCTCCTGCACACCTATATATATTACCCATAATTCTTTTCTTTGCACTCTGCTTTTCATCTTGGAACCTCTTTGCTAATTATTTTACCTGAACTATAAATGAAGATTTGTAGATTATGACATCCATACCACATAAAGTCATCCACATTGCCACACCTATCCTCACTAGATCCTCAGCCCAAGCCCCATACCTACAGGCTTAGTGCCAGACTCTGATCCTGGATATTATACTAATAAATCACCAGAGTCCTGAAAAATAACAGGATAAAGTCACTAAAGTTAGAATGTATTCAATCTTTTAGTATTTTAGGAAAATTAATTACAAATTAAGTTTATCACCTACTACCACTTAATTGTTCTATGCTAATAGAGTAAAACAAATTACTTAATTTTTTCTGCTATCATTTGTCATAAATAGTCTACCTGGTGCTTATATTTCTGAGCTTCAATGAAGAGATAATTGAGGTTTCAGCTATTCTTGTATAATTGGTTACCAATCCTCTCTGTACAGTGATTTTCTTTTCTCTGATATTATCTAAATTAAAAATGTAAATCAACAAGGATAGACCATGTGAATTATCTAGGTAATAGGTTTAGTGAAATTTTAAATCAACTAATTAAACATGTGTAAGCCATCTAGTGAAACAAAAAAGTAGTAGAAATACGTGTTTTAGATATAGATACCTCGAGTCAGGATTCCATTGGTCTGTTTTAATCCCCACCCCTGCCAATATCAGGAGCATAATATTGTACAAGTTAATGGACATCTGTTGGCAGAGGCTGTCAGCTGATCATCTAACTCCTTGTATTTCTCCCAGATTCCTAACTAGACTGTACCTACCCTACCATCCCTTCTTGCAGTTAATTGTAGCCAACTGACCAGTTCTTTCCAATGGAACATGAACAGAAAAGCAACAGATGCTACTTTGGAGCTAAGGATTCTAAGAAGCCCATATTTCTTCACCATGATTCTTTTTTAATCCAGACTGTATTGAGATGATAACAAAGACTCTAAGAGATAATGAAACAACAAATGGAAAGAAGCCTGGTTCCTACAACAACCACAAGGAGATGAGTCTCCTGCTAACTGAGGCCATTTTTTTTTATTACTTTTATTTGAATGCACTGTCTCTGAACTTCAGTTACCCTATTTGTTACATAAGTTTAGCCTACCCTAAAGAACACAGCATCTATTTAAATGAAAACATTGCCCTGGCCTAAAGTTTGTGGGTTTGATTTCTAATCATGGCACACACCTGCTTGTGGGTTCAATCCTTAGACAGATATGGGAAGCAACTGATATTTCTCCGTCACATCGATGTCTCTCTCTTTCTGTCTCTCAAAATCAATAAAAAAAAATCCTTGGGTAAGGTTAAAAAATAAAATGTAATAATACTATCTGCCTTAATTAACATTCTCTTAGTTAGAAGTAGCAAAATTCCACTCACGGTAGTCTAAGCTAAATTAAGAAATTTACCATAAGGAAGTGTTGATCCACGAATATAGCTGGGCATCAAGAGGCAATAGACACAATAATCTCTGGCAAACATTTTTCTCTGTACATCTTCAGTATTGTATCTTTTTTTCCATGTACATGCCACCGCACAACTTCTGATTTTATGCATCTTATGTTCAAGAAAGTAACATCTCTCAATTGTTATTCCAAATCCAGGGGATAAAATCTACTTGACCTACTATTGGCCAATTTTACTAGTAGGCCTGAGCAATAGAATTAAAAATATTAATATAATTGTCAAAGGCCCACTTTTATATATAAATAGAGGGCAAGTCTCACAGACAAGAGTTTGGATTAAACAGACTTTCAAATGGGTTAAGTACACTAATCCATGAATTATTATAAAAATTAAATGAAATGCTCATAAAAGTATTTAGCAAAGTTCCTAAAACATAGTAAGATTCCCCTCATACTTGTTAATCTTATATTATTAGACATTATATTCATTTTTGTTGCCATAACAAATTATTACAAACTATGCAGCTTAAACAACATCTACGCATTATCTCACAGTTTCCATGGGTAAGAAATCTGGGCACAGTGTGGCTCAGCTGTTTCCTCTAGCCCAGGCTTCATGAGAACTGAATTAAGATGTTGGCAGGGCTGTGTTCCTTTCCAGAGGCGATTCTTAGAGCCACTTCAAAGCTCATTTAGGTTGTTAGCAGAATTCAGTTCTTCACCCTAGTAGAAAACAGTTTCTTGTTCCCATACTGACTGCTATTTTTGGTTGTCTTTATCCTAGATGTCTCTCTCTGACCTTTGCAGCTGGCTACCTGTGTCTCAAATTCTGCCTTCCCCTCTGCAGCATCTTTCCTGCTATCTCTTCTACCACATCTCTGCCTCTAGCTAGAAAATATGATCTGCTTTTAAGCTCATGTGATTTAATTGAGCCCATACAGGTTCTCCAGAATAATTCCCATATTTTAAAGTCTATAAACATAATTACATTGGCAAAAATCCCTTCTGACATGAAATGTAACATATTCATAGGTTCCAATAATCAGGGCATGGGCATTTTTGTGGGGTAATTGTGGCCACCACAGATATATAGTCAATATTACTACTCCAGGTATCTCTAGTTTAGAAAACTTGACAAATATACATCACATATAATTAACTTTTGAATAGTTCTGAAGAAATTCTGAAGTGATGGTATAAACATAATGTAATTACATATACTTTGTTCTTATCTATATCTATCTATCTCTGTCTCTATCTATTGAGGTATATATTACTTTGTGTGCTCATATTTTAAGAGTTATAAATATTCTCATTATTATATACTCTCTCTAGTGGATTTATTCATTTTACAAATATTTGTTTTGTCTTCATAATGTTAGCTGTAGATACAACCCTAGACATCTTAGTTTGGGGTTTGGTGTCATGAAGGTACCTACACTAGTACTGAGAGACAAACAATAAGCAAGTTAACACATGAGAAGTCAAGGCAATGTCAAATGTTGATAAATAGGCTATTATGATAGATCCTATATGGCTGGGTGGACCAAAATCACTTCTATTTTAGATTGGTTGGTCAGAAAGATCTCTCAGCTTTGAGTTTTCCATGTTGAAGGTACAGTAGAAAAAAAAAATGTAACTATGGGGTGGGAACCAGTTTGGAATGTTGTGGAAACCAGCTTGGGGGAAAAGTGACCAATGAAGAGAAGGGTATTAAGTGAATTCAAAAAAATGGAAAGAAGCCACAGCTTCCATCTAACACTTTCAAAGTGTAGCTATCCATATACTTAAAAATTGCAATCAGATTTTTCAAACTATCAAGCATACAAATGATAAGTTCAAATTGTACTTACCAAATTGGTCTGTTTGGGTATGATTTTTTTCATCAAATATAAAATTGCAGTTAAAGAAGAAAAAGTTATAATGAAAAACTTCACCCAGGTATTTCCAAGTGTACCATTCCATACAATCCCTCTTTCCCTTCATTTGTAAATATAACACATATTCTTTCATAAAATGTCTATGTCTCATCTGTAATAAGATGATCTCAGGTTTTTTCTTTTCCTCATGCTCTTTCCTGAGAATCATCAGAGTTTATCTTTCTTCAAGTGAATTTGTACTAATTTACTCCTCCTGCTACATTTGAATTTCACTGATATCTATCCTCTTACAGCATTTACTTTATCCCTTCCAAATGATGTAGAAATTGGGAAATAATTTAATCAGCAATGTTCCTCTATAAAGGAGGTGGCATTTTCCAAATACACTCCCAACATCCTTCCCTCAACTATTGTTTCCTATATAATAACAAGGCTATATGCAAATTGACCATCACTCCAACACAAAAGATGGCTTCCCCCATGTGGTCAAAGATGGGACTGAATCCAATACTCCTTTAACTAGCAAGTATATCATTCAAAAGTCAAGGGGAAATCAAGAGCTGTACAAAGAAAAGCTAAGGAAGTTTATCACTCCCAAGCCAGCAATGCAAGAAATGTTAAAGGAACTGTTGTAAAAAGAAGAAAAAATAAATAAAAAAGGGAAAAGAAGGAACAGAGGCAATAAAAAAATGGCTACAAATACCTATCAATAATAACTTTTAACATAAATGGACTAAATGTTCTAAACAAAAGACTGCGAGTAACTGAATGATAAGAAAACATGACCCGTACATTTGCTGTCTACAAAAGACTACCTCAGAACAAGTGACTCATATTAGACTGAAAGTAAAGGGATGGAAAAATATCTTTCAGGCAAATAGAAATAAAAAATTAAAAAAAGCCTAGGGTAGCAATACTTATATCTGATAAAATAGACATCAAAATGAAGGCCATATCAAGAGATAAGGAAGATCACTTCATAATATTAAAGGGATCTATACAAGAGGATATAACTGTGGTAAACATATATGCAGTCAATTGAGGAGCACCCAAAAACATTAAAAAAAAAAAAAAAAAAAAACTTCTGGAAGATATCAAGGGAGAGATCAACAGCAATACAATCATAGTAGGGAACTTTAATACTCCATTGATATCACTGGATAAATCCTCTAGACAAATAATTCGCAAAGAATCAGCTATCCTAAATGACTCACTAGATCAGATGGATTTAATTTATATCCAGAACATTTCATCCCAAAGCTACAGAATATACATTCCCCTTAAGTGCACATGGGACATTTTCAAAGATAGATCTCATATTGGGTCACAGGCAAAGTCTCTCCAAATTCAAGAAGATTGAAATCATATCAAGCATCTTCCCAGACCACAATGGCATAATACTAGAAATCAACAACAAAAATTTTTTTAAAAAATTCAAACACTTGGAGGCTGAAAAGCATGCTATTAAACAATGAGTGGGTTACCAAGAGGATAAAAGAGGAAATTTAAAACATGCTGTAAACAAATGACAATGATAAAACAGCAATCCAAAACCTATGGGACACAGTGAAAAGCAGTCCTGAGAGGGAAGTTCATAGCATTAAAAGCTGCCTCAGAAAACAAGAAGAAATGATAATAAATTACCTAACTCTACAACTTCAATAATTAGAATGATAAAAACAAGAAAAGCCCAGGGTGAGCAGAAGAAAGGAGATAAGATCAGAGCAGAAATAAATGACATACAAACAACAACAAAAAAAAACACAGTACAAAATATTCATGAAACGAAGAGCTGGTTCTTTGAAAGAATAAATAGGACTGATGAACCTCCAGCCAGGCTCACCAAGAACCAAAGAGAGAAGAGCCAAACAAACAAAATCAGAAATGAAAGAGGCAAAGTAACAAAAGACCCTACAGAAACATAAAGGATAATAAAAATAAAAAATAAAAATACTATGAATAACTCTATTACAACAAACTTAGCAACCTAGAAGAAATTGACATATTCCTAGAAAAATATGACCATTCAAAACTCATTCAAGAAAGGTCAAAAAAAATCTCAAAAGGTCAATAACTAAGAAGGAAATGGGAAACCATAAAAATTGTGAAAGAAACCATAGGCAGCAAAATGGCAGACATTTGTAGTAGCAACATTTTTACTGACACAACTCCTAGGGCAGTGGAAACTAAGGAGAAAATAAACAAATTGGACTACATCAAAATAAAAAGCATAGCAAAAGAAACCAGCAACAAAACAACAGGAGAGCACACTGCATGTGAGAACATATTTGCCAATGTTACATCTAATAAGTGGTTAATCTCCAAAATTTATAGGAACTCATACAACTTAACAAAAGAAGCATAAACAATCCAATCAAAAAATGGGAAAATAACCTAAATAGACACCTTTCGAATGAAGACATACAGAAGGCAAATAGACATATAAAAACATGGTCAAAGTCACTAATCATCCAAGAGATGCAAATCAAAACAACAATGATATACTATCTCACACCTGTAGAAATGGAAATCATAACAAATCAACAAATGACAAGTGCTGGTGAGGATTCAGAGAAAAAGGAATCCTCTTGCATCACTGGTGGGGTTGCAGACTGGTATTTCCTTAAAAATTTTTAAATGGAACTTTTTGACCCAGTAATCCCGCTTTTAGGAATATATCCCAAGAAAACAGAAACACCAATCAAAAAGATATCTGCAACCCTATGTTCATAGCAACACAATTTCCAATAGCTAAGATTTGGTAACAGCCTAAATGCCCATCAGCAGATCAGTAGATTAGAACACTGTAGTACATCTACACAATGGAATACTATACTATTATAAAAAAAAAAAAAAAAAAAAAAAAAGAAGGAAATAGCCGAAACCGGTTTGGCTCAGTGGCTAGAGCATCGACCTGCGAACTGAAAGGTCCCAGGTTCGATACCAGTCAAGGGCATGTGCCTTGGTTGCTGGCACATCCCCAGTAGGGAGTGTGCAGGAGACAGCTGGTTGATGTTCCTCTCTCATCAATGTTTCTAGCTCTCTATCCCTCTCCCTTCCTCTCTGTAAAAAAATCAATAAAATATATTTTTAAATAAAAGAAGGAAATATTACCATTTGCAACAGCATGGATTGAACTGAAGAGCATTATGTTAAGCTAAATAAGCCAGTAAGAGAAAAATATCACATGATCTCACTCATTTGTGGAATATAATGAACATAAACTGATGAACAAAAACAGAATCAGAGTCATAGAATCATCGAATAGACTGTCCAATCTATGAGAGAAGGAAGGGGGTGAGGGCGTAAAAGATCAACCAAAGGACTTGCATGCATGTATATGAGCTAACCAATGGACAGACACCGGAGCTGGGGTGAGAAAATGTGCTAGGGGTAGCCAGGAAAAAGTAAAAAGGGGGGGAGGGGAAGGAGACTTATGTAATACATTTAATAATAAGAATTTGATTAAAAAAAAGATATGCACATAACATTATTTTTAGGCTATTTAGAGTTTTTTTTCATCTCTAGATTCCTACTTGTCAGCAATATCTTTATATTGTACCTGCACCCCCATGCCACCATCCCCTCCCATCAGCAGTCCTGGGTGTCCAGCTGGGAGGCGCCAATGACCCCACAGAGCAATTCAAATACTGATGATTTCACCAATGGAAAAGTTAAGAGAAATAGAGGACAGAAAAGGAATATGAGGAGAAAAGAAAGGGCAAATGATGAAACATCAAGAAAAAGAAAGAGAAGGGAAAAAAAAAAGGAAGAAACAACCTCATGATATCACCTTTCCAAGTCTCATGAAATTCCTGTTTAAGGAGTTTATTTTATGACACTTTTAGTTTGGGTTTACATTTTTACTGGTTTGTCAAGACCACGCCAGATACACTGTCCAATACTTTTTTTTTTTAAATACATTTTATTGAATTTTTACAGAGAGGAAGGGAAAGGGATTGAGAGCTAGAAAAATCGAAGTGAAAGAACATTGATCAGCTGCCTCCTGCAGTATGTGCCCCCAACCAAGGTACATGCCCTTGACCCGAATTGAACCTGGGATCCTTGAGTCTGCAGGCCAACACTCCATCCACTGAGCCAAACCAGTTAGGGCTGTCCAATAAGTTAAAGAAAAAAAACCCTATCTATAATAATAAAGAGGGAATATGCAGGGGAGGGCATGTAGGGGTGACCAGGCTGTCAGGGGAGAGAAGTTGGGGATGATCTGGCTAGCAGGGGAGCAGTTAGGCATCAATCAGGCTGGCAGGAGGGTAGTTAGGGGGAGATTAGGCTGGCAGGCAGGCAGATGAGCAGTTGGGAGCCAGCAGTCCTGGATTGTGAAAGGGATGTCGACTGCCTGTTTAGGCCCAATCCTTGTGGGTCAGGTGGTCAGACATCCCTCCTGAGGGGTCTCAGATTGGAGAGGGTGCAGGTTGGGCTGAGGGACACCCTCCCCCAGTGCATGAATGTCGTGCACTGGGCCTCTAGTCTATAATATAACTCTTACAATTTAAGAAATTCTGATGGATGATTTCTTTAGGACTACTTTAGTTTATAAGTGTACACTGACCTTTTCTCAGATTGTCCATGACTCTCAGTGAAGATATTTAAAAAAATCACCTGTGTGTGGTAAGGCATGAGATAGGAATGAAAATCAGGAATGCTAGGAAAGGGAGAGGACTTAGATGACCTCATTACTCTTATAGAAGTGAGTAATCCTCTGTTCAAAGAGAAGATGTGACTAGTTAAATATAGAAGTGAATACCAGACATTTTACACCTGGGGGTCACTTTACAAAACAACAGATCTTTTCCTATTCTCTCTTTCAACCACAAAAAAAAAAAAAAAAAAAAAAAAAAAAAAGTCTCATGTGAACCATATCCTTGGAAAAGAGGTATTGTTGCAATTATATTTTTGTTTTCTCTTTTCTTATTTCTGTGTCTCCCTTACCTCCTTTTTCACTTGCTTACATATATACAGTATATATGCTAGAGGCCAGATGCACAAAATTTGTACCCTGCAAGGAGGAAGGGCAGTGTCCCTCAGCCCAGCCTGCACCCTCTCCAATCTGGGACATACCTCTCACAATCCAGAACTGCTGGCTCTCAACGGCTTACCTGCTTGCCTACCTAGTTGCCCCTAACCACTCCCCTGCCAGCCTAATCAATGCCTAACTGCTCCCCTATTGGCCCGATCACCCCCAGTTGCTCTCCCCTACTGGCCCTGTTGCCCCCAAATGCCCTCCCTGCCAGTCTGGTTGCCCCTAACTGCCCTCCTTGCAGGACTGGTCCCCCCAAACTGCCCTTCCTCCCTGCAGGCCTTGTCAACCCTAACTACCCTCCCCTGCTGGCCTTATTGCCCACAACCGCCCTTCCCTGGCAGCCATCTTGTGGCAGCCATCTTATATGAGAATGTGATGGTCAATTTGCATTTTATCTCTTTATTATATAGGCTATATCTAAATATATATAGAGAGGCCTGGTGCATGAAAATTCAGGCAATGGATGGGGTGAGGGGTCCCTCAACCCGGCCTGCCCCTTCTCACATCCAGGAGCCCTGTAGGATTAGGATTAAACCAACAGTGGGACATCTCTCAAGGGGTTCCCAAATGGAAAGAATGCAGGCTGGGCTGAGGGAACCCCTATGCA